CAGCCCTCGCTTCATGGGATCTGCTAGTGTGAAGTTTTGCCTTTCCTGTGCTCACTTTTCCGGAAAAGGCTCGAATGGCCTTCATAGCAGTCACGCCACCAAATCCAACCTTTCCGGCCTTTGCGGTTTGAACGGCGAGAGCTTTGCCCATGACTGGACATCGGCCAGCAATGGTCTGGAGATTGGACATACTTCCCCCACCTGGGGAGGCATGGGGACGAGTAGAGGTCGACAGGGATCGAAGGGTTGCGGGCGAGGTCTTTTGAAGAAATGGGCACATTGCCCGACCTTTGAGAACGGCTTCCATGATTATTTGCTTGTTCGATGAATGGATCGACAATGGATTCGAAGAATTGAATTGGGAGCAGTGACCCTCGTGAAGTTTCCTTTGAGGCAGGAAATACGACGAGCGAAAAGAGTATTGAGCGAAGAGTGAATTTATTTGGAAGAGTAAAAAGTGAACAGAGCGGCGGGATGGTAGATTATGTTATGTACGGCATTGGACTGGACTTTGTATAAAAACTTACCGAGGGGGGGTGGAAAGTGTAAAGTACAGTAAGAAAGAACCCTGACTAAATTAATCCTGTAATATACTTAATTATCGGTGTAACGGGAATTGGATTAAATCTTTCCCCGATGGATAATTATTTGGAATAAGCAATATATGATTGGTCAATTCAATGCAATCGGTGCAGATTTTATATATTTAATACCTAATTGAGTAATTGGAAGATTATTCCTTTGAGCTAACAATGATTGTTTTAGATTTTATAAAATAGGTATGGTATGACTCCGATGCATTCGTTCTCTTTGTGGTCCTTGAGGTTGTTCGAGATGGTTCGAAGTTAGCACGTGGGTAGGTATGTATATGTATATATGTATACTTCCTCTGTGTACCTGTGTACCTGTGTTCCTATATTCCTATATTCCTATATTCCTGTGTACCTGTCTATTCTAGCAGATAGACAGATATGCAGCTTGTGCTAGATAATCAAAAGCAAATCTTCTCAATATCTTATCGTGTCTTCCACCCCGCAGTGCCACCAGATGTTGTTGTATTTGTATTTCTACATGTCAAAAATTCCAGAAAGGGGTTCGTTTCAACCGCCAGAAAGTAGATAGAAGTGCATATGAAAAAGACGATTGACATCTCAAACTCTGTATGCATCCAATCCATATAAGGATTGTCTGGTCCCGCAATCGTAAGAACATCAGGTCATACATACCGGTGACCGGAGAGACTTTTATTTTCAAATCCCGAGTTCTGCTCTGGAATCAAATCAATTCTCGGAATCTTCGCAAAGTTTCAAAGATCCCTTGGTATCCTGGTAGTCATAAACTAACGTCAAGGTTATCCACATCCGGCCTTTCTCATCATGTCGTATTCGGACTTGAAATGAAATAGTGTGAAAATTCTGGAACTCTGTACTCGACTCTTGCCATGCTAAGATCCTACTTGGTTCTAGCCTCAATCGAGTGCTTCCCTCGAGCTTCCATCGGAAATTCTAGAAGCCATGCTAAATAATCTTACGGAGTATTGTATCATAGGGCTGCTTCATGATGGTGCTTGCAAAGGCCAATCAAAATTTAGATAATGTCGTCCTTCGTGAAAGGCGATAATTATATAAAAACAAAAACATTGACGGGTCACAGTCATTCATCATCAATAGTTGTCCTTTCCCGTCAGGCAAAGTGTTTTGGATAGTTTCGAAACTACTCGGGATAGAACTTTACAAGGAAAGCTTACATCCAGCAATGATTACACAATCCAATACCCACCTACAGATTCCCAAGTTTCTCCACGGAGATAAATTCCCGTGGTGATACATCAATTCTTACCATGACTGTGTACGGAACTACATCAGTCAACACCGTCAGATATTAACACAAGACAGAATGATGATATTCCGTCTGTTCTAGTGGACAATATACATAATATGCATTGAGTGACTCGGTGGATTTACACAGCATGCATAGCATGCAATCATAGTTGATTACTCTTTTCAAATGTGAAATATTCGTATATTTGATTGTTCCGCTCTAGCCAAGTTGAAGTACTTGATTGTTGTTGAGCTGATTAAACGCAGTGGTCAAAATGGCACTTCATCTGTTGATAACTCACTACGAGGGGCGGGAAGAGATCGCTTGACTAATAATCACGAACATTATATCTGCCAGTTCAGATTAAGGTCTCATAATTGTATGTGTTGATCAGGATAAAAGAATAAAGCGACGTACGTACTCTGATCAATATACCCAACATGCGCTTGAGTTCGATGTTTACCTACGACTTGGCACAGATAGTACTGCCATCTGCTTGGATGTAGCTGTCGCAGGAGAGGGAAGATGTCCAATTATTGAAGGTATGGAAGTGTTCAAAGTATGGACCATAGTCGTATAGTTAGCAAGTGAAATTTTATTTCGTTTGCAGGGATGATGGTCAGCGTAAAGTTTTTAATTGTATCTCTCGTCTTCTCCTTCTGGAGCTGGGCCGACTGAGTTAGATGGATATGCGTGGCGTAACTTCGAAACAAAGAATTGATAGTATTTTATAATAGAATCATAGTTTGAATGCCAGAAAACATCAGCTTCCCTCAATCTTCATTTACCGATTGTTAATAATCAAGATCTACTTGAACGAGTAAAGAAATTCATGTTGCAATTCCGCTTACCAACCCCCCTGGTTCCTCGATTGCCATGTCGTTAAAGGCACTCTCTGTTGATTGCACATTATGAATCTAAATATGTACTACCGAATTTGCTGAAGGGTCGTTGATCAGGCCAAATGGCTAGAGACATGTCACGAACTCCCCGCCATGGAGACAATTCATGTCCGCTCACAAGATGCACACAACGGGACGCTCAGCAACTTCCCCATGACCAAAACCACGAAAGGTTATACTTTTACATCACTCACCAGTCTCATTATACTCTCCTCTCTTTTCCACTGTCACAAAAGTTCACTGTTTATTACTTCATGCTCTCCCTCAGATCGCAAAGCGGACTGTTCAAATTGCTGCATCATTACCGATAATCGCCCATCATCTCTCAGCCATCTTAACTGCTGGGACATAAAGCTTGCACTTCTGTCTTGTGCGCCGATTGCAAGATGGAAGAAATAAAGAGGGGATCAGATGGTGCTCTGAACGGCTCAGCTCCTTTGAGGCAGAATTGAACCACAGCTTCGAATTACAATAGAAGAGGATGGAGGTTAATATGATTTTAAGAGGAGAACGCTGTTAAGAAAGGTTAAAGGAGGAAAGCCTAGTCTAGGTTCACCCTCAAAACATGGAAATGATGCTTCATATGTACAGTACCTATGCAAGACTAGATTGCCACCGATTACATATATTATCGGATGTGATTCCACTTGGAAGACAGTATGATTCTTTGGGTGATTAGAAATACCATAATGGTGCGAGGATATGAGGCAGCGTGAAAATGAGGGATCGAGCATCGCAATTCTTTCAGATTCGAGTTCGAATTTCACAATTATATGGCGCTTAAGTTTGCATAGATGCCGTTAATGTTTGGATTTCTAGAGATAAATCTGTTTACATAAGACAAAGCTATATTAAATAATTCTTTGTAGAATCTTTTGAGTCGAATTCATCAATCCGTTATATGCAGATTCATCATATGGCCTGTCATAGACTTTCAGACCTGGGAGTCTAAGCGAACGCCACTTCCCCGAGCTTACCCCACATCCCAAGTAATGGACTACGTCAACACTTCGAGCTTCTAGAATTGAAGCGTTCCGCTAGTTTCACGAATATCTAATTTGAATGGCTCTTAAAATGCGGCCTAATTCATATAACAACTCGATGACTGAAAGATTATGTTTGCATGAGATACGGGTAAAGAGTCGTTCGTACGTCATTTGTTCGACTCCTTCACGTTGACATCATTAGATACGAGTATGCATAGCTAGTGGTGGCGTTACATGCACTTGGTATACGTAGCTATTGTCCAGAACTTCTATAAAATCACTGGTTTCAATGTTCCTCCTCCATTCTTAGACAATCATCTATATCCAGTGCTCACTTCCAGAACCCTCACACGAACAATAATCAAAAATTCCCCATCACTCACACCTACGCGTACAGTCATGGCAACCGCAACAGCCCCCGGAGAGAACTTTGAAGTTCGCCAAACCTCTTCGACTGAGGATTGGCACCCCGACCCTTCCAAATCTATCCCTCTGTCTCCCGCTCGTCAAGCACTCATTGACGATATAATTGCTCTGTATAGCTGCGAACCTACTATCGAGCGTGTCAAACGTTACACGCCAGATTGCGTCTATGATGACCAGTTCGTGTATGCCAATGATCGGTACAAGATGGCTGGACAGTGGTTTGCGCTACCAAAGTTGTTCAAGGATAGTAAGAACGAGGGGTATCAGGTTGTAAGAAGCGATGATGAAGTGATTCAATTTAAGAATGAACAGGTATTCAATATTCATTGCTAAATAGCTTGATTTACGTCTAAACAACTTCTAACATTGGGGTAGTCATGGACATTTAAAATTATCCCAAAAACTGCCACAATAAACGCACTCGTGACTTTGTCTCTTGATCCTGAAACCGTCCACAGCGATTTCATACGAGTCAAGTATCACAAGGACCAAGCCAATGATAAAGACTACAGCCATGAAGGTGTAGGCTTTTCGTTCAAGAAATGGCAAGCAGATCAAGTTGCAAAACACATGAGCAGTGATGAGGTTGCAGTTTTCAAAGAGGATAGTACTGCTGGGAAGGAACCTGTTAGGAAGTATGGCGATGGTAAGGGCGAAGCTCCAATGAAAGATTTGTAATGCCTGGTTAGAGGCACGAGAATAATATTGTAATGTGTCGCACATTCATGTCATCATATGAAGCATCATCTATGCAGAGTTACATGGATGTAAGATTATACATAGCCATCTTCACTACTGAGGAATTACATCATATCTAACTCGGATACTATTGAAGCAAAAGGTAATCGCGATACCGTGACTTCTCCTAGAAACTATCCAATAGCGTATCGCCAGTGTCTCTGAAGATCATCCAAGGATCTTGCCAGTCCCCTGTCGATCGAGTTTCAGACGTTGTGTCTCCGAAGTTTATTAAGTCTGGCTGCGGCTCAACAAACTTACCAGTCGTTGATTCAGGTGCAGTATCCCAAGGTAAATCCTCATCAAGTTCGTGAACAGGGCAAGGGGCTTTGATGCCCTGCCCAGTTGGCGATAAAAAGTTGCGATCTGATGGAACTTCCTCAAGATCTTGTGAAGATGCGAAACTAGGCGGCACTGGGCTATTGCATTCTTTGTTGTTTCCTCGTCGCATTTGATTTTCTTCCATATATCTATCAGTGATTACTTCTGAGAAGCTGAGAATTGGCCGTTCAACCTCATTCGAGCGCTCCGAGTTTCTGAGCCATGTGCACCGCGCGTCGTCGTATTTGCTTTGTTTTGGTAACTCGAGGTTTCTCTTGCCTGTTCCGTCCTCTAATCCTCCGTTACCAGATACAACTTTATTTTTGACTTCGACGAGCTGTTGCGGTATCGTGTCTGTAGTTTCATGATGACGGCTAGTTTTCTCAGTTGCTAAGTTTTGCTCGGCTGCGTGACTATGGATAGCATCATGTACGTTTCTCGGTTTGAGAGCGTGGAACCCAGAATGCTGGTGTTTCAACAGCGCAGGAAGATTGGCCCATGATCTTTCGCTGTTCTTTATGGAGGCCGACGGATCCAACTTACACCAACCGCAAGTCAATTTGCTTTTATTCCTCATCCCAGCTTCAAATTCATCTGCAGCTGCGTCTCTGATGAACATGCCTCGGCTGTCTTTTCCTTCTGTTGGTCGGTACATATAGGGATCGGCTATCTTGTCCGCGAAAGATATACTTAAAGTCAAACCAGCGCCCTTTAACATTGTACTCGGTGTCCCCAAATCTGACTTCTAGTTAGTGCTCATACACATATGCAGAAGCGAATTAGTACGAACCTATTCCAAACAGCCGGGCGGCTTTTCTCGTCACGGCTTCAATTAGTTGTAGTGATAATACCTCTTCCTTAGTAAATCCTCTCTGCTCAATACTTCCTTCCTCCCAGGAGAACGTGGAATAATGGTTCAGTTTTAGCATCGGTATTTGCATGGGTGTGTTGTTGCCGTACGCCTGAAAACCCATGGTGAAAAAGATACGTCTTTGTGAGACAAAGGAAAATTGACATGATTAAAGGTACGAGGTTGTATCTGGTGATGACGAAATGTTGATTCATTTTACGAATAACAATCAATGATCTCTTCAGATGGTAAGAACAAAAGCTGGGATACAATCACATCTGTATCGTGCTTTCCCGTTGAGGTCTGTTTCCAACCCATCCACCCAGAAAGCGAAACATTCATTTTCACCACGCCCCAAAGGTTCCTCTTTCCGGCTAAATTTGGCTTTGGGGGAGGAAAAGAACGTGACAAGTACCTAGATTCCATGAGGGTTTCGGGATTTCCCATTCATCAGCAGAGATACCATTGACTAAATTATTGTATAGTACACACTTGTGCAGCTATAAGGAACTTCTGGCCATTATCATCCGAACTTGAAGCTGTCATGAAATTGGAATCAGACGAAGACATTCATCCATCAAGAAAGAAAGAGAGGCTGCCAAGCCCGGGCTACGAAGGGGAAAGAAATTTCTTCTACAAGCAGTTGAAAGAAACCCTTCTGCCAAAGGCCTCCACATTCACTTGAAATCTTGCACGTTCCATATACGGGAGACTGTTCAGTTAAAAGAACAGTAACTGTGGATTGATATTGGTAAACAAAGATTAAGGTGAGACGATTTGCGGACCAACTGGTCAATCTTTTGGTATATCAAAGACCTGAAAATTCTCTTTTGAATTGATTAATACTCATTTTGTCTTTCTGTTCTTTACTCCTCTTCACTTCAGATGAGAATTCGAGAAGATTCCTAAGTTCATATCCTTGGATCGATATCAAGCGAACTATCATTAGATTATTACACTATATTGTTGTGTTTTCCTGCGAGATCCAATGCCCTTTCTCCCGAAATGTCTGTGACATCAACCAAATCCAGATCTTTCCATTCTTACTCTTCTCAGTAGGCACCGAGCAGCACAATGTTACTCAGCTAGAACCAGGCTAAGTGAAAGTTGCAATTTGATCGACAAATTCCCCTACAATTATATCAGAACAAAGAGATCACTTTCTACGAAGAAATATGTGCCATAGTTTCACCTGATATGCAGATACCAAGAATTGAATCTTACGAATTGCAATATTCACTTGGGCAACGTGCGGTTGTGACCATGAGAGTTCCGATTTTCCTGGGTTTATAAACCCTTCTTCGTTCAGCTTCTAGTGAGTCTGAAATTTTGAAAATTAATAGCTACCAGAACTTTTCCATTGTCAACAACAATTTATAATCAACTTATTCTTAGTAAGGGCGAAATTTTCAATACTTGGTTTTACTTTGAGACGGCCAGTAATAACTCAGACAGTATGCCAGGTATTGTGGAAGATCATGAACATGGATCCTATCGAACAATTCCTACTACAGCAGGTCAAAGAAAGATACTCCTGGAAGAGCAAGTAGTTTTTCTTGACCTTTCTACTTGATTCTAACCCTAACAGGTACTTTTCGTTCACCTGTCGCCATATCTACTGAAAGTATTTTGCTACAGCAAGTTAGAGAAAAGTACTCTTACAAAGGTACTTAAATGCCCCTCTGCAACTGCTTTTGATGCGGAGCTAACTAATTTTTGGATAGAACTCCCACAGATATTCACTATGGCCCCTGCATCTCCATTACAGACATCGCTCAGCCCAAGAATACCTTCGACAGCCTTTGCTGCCACCTTTGATCTCACCTTCACCACTTCATCGGATAGGAAACTATCAAGATTTTCTTCGGCTGAAAATCAACTCAAGGACATGCTTGTCAACTATAAGCTCGAACAACAGGGGTTTCCTCAGTATTCAAGATTTCCCCTCGAGATTCAGCGAAAGATCTGGATATGTACACTCCCTGATCCAAGGGTTATCCCCATTTCATATGACGATATCACCCATGTTTGCCAGAGTACCAGTTCAGTTCCAATAGCCTTGCACGTTTGTAGTACCTCTAGAATTGAGGCACTGAGATTCTATTCGTTATCTTTCGGTACCACGAACGGAAACGGCCGTATTTACTTCAGATTCGGATTTGATATACCTCTCTTATTGACCAATATCTTCGATAGGACCCAACCTACTAAGCTGCCAGCTGAAAGGTTTGAAAGCTTCATCAATAGTACTCGGAACCTTGAAAGGCTTGATGCAATTGCTATGATACCCGGACTGATCAAATCGATTTTTGGCCCTCATCCGAGACCATGCCCATATCTCTGCAACACAGTCGTCGAGAAGATGCCAAATTTGACGCATCTGTTATCTGCAAATTGTACTAGGGAAACAGATGAGCTACCTATTGGTATGTCTGGATACCTTGCGGGTTATAGGACCATTGGCACCAAAGTATGCAGTGATCTATCCTTATCCATGAAGGCTTATGCACTGAATGAAGACGCTCAACGCCGGACCGACAACTTCAAGAAGTTCTGGAATGTTTATTGGTGCCAGACTTATCTAGAGCTGCATGGCCTACCTTTAGTATTGGTGCAGGAGAACCTAGAAGTTGGTGAGGTCAGGCGATTTTCTCGCATAGGGGATGAATGGGGAAATTCTCCGTGGATTCGATCTGTGCTAGGCTATTCCCGTCCAGAAGAGGTTAAGTTGGAAGAGTGAGCCTTGTTTTTGTTGCGGGTTGGTAATATTTAACAACTACATACCATTTTTGAGTTTTAGTTTGAGATAGATTGTTTAATCAATGGGGGAACCTATTCATTGACGGGGCTCCGGGGGGATACATCATTAGCTGGGGGGCGGAGGAGGAGGGGAGGTCGCATGCGAGAGGCAGTGGTTATTTTTATAGTTACCGGATGATCTCAAAAAAGAATATCACAATTATCTAAAACATGCGTGTGATGGTAAACTTCCCAATTGAGGCTTCCATGTTAATACCTAATCAAAGGTCAGAAAGCCCAACGTGAGTGCATTGAAGGCAAATCTAGACTGTATCGCTAACAATATCCTGAAAAAAAAAAAAAAACAGCCAAGGAGAAAGTAATGAGATAACTTGGTCTTCAATTAGACTTCTTCGGTGATATTGAAGGTTTCTTGAGCTTCTTCTCTGGGTCTGCAAGATTATTTGCTTCATTGATTGATCATTTTGATGGTGTGTAAAGCTCACTGAAAGTTCACATTCGCAACGCCCGTGACGTTTTTCCAGTAACATATGTGATGGCTGCTCCTGCGAAACAAGCTGGGTGTCCTTTTGGAAAGGACAACTCGAGATCAGGTTGTTGACTCTTCAGTGATTGTGCGTTGCATCGCGTATCCTTGAAGACAGAGGCGTATGCGCAGGACGTAGATCACCTTGGATCGGATACCCAATTAAGATAAGAGATAAAACGGTATTTTCTGCCATTTTTGGCAAAATCACTAATATTGCTTTTGTCGATGTGGCGTTTCCTTTTCGGCTTTAGGGGAGCTGTCCGGGAACCTTCTCCTCATCATCCCCTTTGAAGCGGAATAACAATTAGCGAGTACACACTTTCCAAAAAATTTATCTGTATGATGCAAGAAACCATCTCTGGTTTCTCAAATCTACAAACTTGACACCTTTGTGATTGATCTCTTCCGTCTCACTTGGAATGCTCACGTGCTGTCATCGGCGAGATTGAAACAAACTTATGCTTCAGTTCGACGCATAGCTGAACTGTAATTGGTGTATATCCGTTGAAATAAACGAGTAAGGGTTGGAACTACCTAGGTATATATCAATTGAATATTCAGAAGTACTGATCCGACAATGAGGGTCATTCGTGGAGTAAGCGCTTTACAATTAAACATTATGAAATTATTATAATATTCAAGGACAGCTTTGCATATTGTACAGTTACATGCTTATTCACTTGAGTTCAAGTGGTTGCGATGAGAATCTCTCGAAGTTACACATCATCACCGTGGTAATTGATTCAGGTGCTTAGCGAATACCAGATGTACCTGTTAAAAGTCTCTCGGTGTGACTCATGAAGTTACACGTGATGATCTTACCTCCAACTAAACTGGACTATCAGAATATGTGATGATTTCTTTTTCAAAGGTTTACAAAATTACCACAAGGACTGAATAAAGAGGCAAAATATCCCATTCAAACAACAAGCATGGCCGAATTTCAGGATGCCGTTACCAAACTGGTACAAGAATCACTGGCAGCAACACCATATGCCTGCAAAAGTCTCATACCACTTTCCGGGGGTAGTTCAAACTATCTTTACCATGGAACTTTAATGAAAAATCTTCCTGATGGTACCACGGTTGTGGTAATCAAGCACACTGAGCCTCATTTGTTTTCCAACAAAAATTTCAAACTAACTACTACCCGAACTGTCAGTTTTTTCACCGCCTATTCTATAATCCAGTCAAACAAGCAATGATTTTTTTCCTTTCGCTTCTATTACAATATCTATAGACTTCTAATCTGATAACAGTTCTATGAATCTCAAATTCTCAAATACCTCACAGCTTTCCCGGCTCAGTCCGTTTCTTACAATAATATCACAATTTCTACGCCCAAACTCCTCTATTATGACGCTAGCACCAATACACAGGTCCACAACCATCACCCCTCTCCAACTTGCACAAACCTCAAGTCTTATGTTCTGAAATATCACACTGCCATAACTCCCTCAATCGCCTCCGTCATCGGCAGCTCACTTGGAAACTGGCTTAAGAAATTCCATAACTGGGCCAACTCTCCAGCACAGAGTGAAGTGCGAGAAGTCATGGAGGGGAACCATGCTATGAGGACTCTGAAGCTGGCGATTAATTACACGAATCTAGTTACGATGATTCATAGCTTCCCAAAAATTCTAGGAGGGAGTAGAGATGTGTTTGAAAATGTGGAGAAGGAAATGCTCGCATGGATAAACGGGGGTGGAGAGGGGACTAGGGAGCTAATTCACGGGGATTTCTGGTGTGGAAAGTAAGTTTCTTCAGTCATGGTTCGCAATCAAGGTTGTTGATGGGATGGTCACGTTAATGCTCATATTATGCCAATTTTATCA